CAAACCTGCAATCTGAAGTGCCTGCCGCCATAAAACTCTATCAGCTCATTTGAACCTCATTCTCCTATATAAGTAGGTTCGACTTCAGAGTTTAAGATCAGTGCACCAGCTGCTACCAGTGCAGAACACTGCAAACCAATATACTTATATCAGAATTTGTACGGGCAGTGCCGAGAAACAATAACATTGATGTATATATTTAATGTTAGAAGTTCTGAGCCTCAAAAACAGATTTATAATCTAAGGCTGATGAGAATTTAACATAGAAATGCTTGAAAATACGCTGAGTTTTTTAAAATGCCTCTTTAATTTGATTTTAACTGAAATTAATCTGAATTAATCTCCCTCTGTAATGTGGCTTAAACTAATTACAACATCCTTTCCATTGCTGATTAGTTGAACAACAAGGCCTCTGGCTGGCTAAAACCCCTTCTATAATAAATTGCTTTGCTTTTTCCCTTTAATTTCTGTTGCTCATATAAACTGATTGGAAAAATAATAACAACTGTGGAGCATGTAGTTAAATTTTCAGGGTCTTTGGACTGGGAGTGAAATATCCCCGAAGAGTTCTTACCAAAGTCTGTGACTGATAACTCCTGCCTTCTTTTGCATCTTTTATCCCTGAAGTTCTCTTAAAACATTTCCAGTAGGAGAAAACTGGAGAAATGTTTTATACGAATCTGTCTGCTGGGGATTTCTAACAAGCTATGCAAATTCTTTGCCAGACATTATCTGGCAGTTGTGCTTTAATAATTTAGCATGTTGTTAGGCCAGACATGATATCATGATAGTCATGTAGCAGGTACTTGCGCAAAATGCAATTACAGTAAATCCCCTTCATTCCTAGAATACTTACACTGATGTTGTTGATACGATAAATGACGACGTAAAAAAAACAGATGCTTTGTCAGAAAAGCTTCAGGGAGCAAATTAGTAACTGCAAACATGAATCATGTTGTGCGCTGTACAGAGAGTATGAGGAATTTAAATGGTATAATTAGTCAGCTTTCAATGAAATACATTTTTGGAAGGACAGCTACAGTTAATGTGGGATTTGCCACTGAGTTCTGGGGAATAGGGAAATGTAAATCTTCCACTCTAAGAACTCTTGTGTTTGAGAGCGTTATGTACCAGTTTGTGTTCGTGTTTGCAGAAATATTCTGTTGAGAATGATGTTACAGAAGGACAGCAGCTGGTGGCCATTATTCTAAGCACTGGTTTGCTGGCACAGCTCATTTTAGGATTAGAGCAGTCATCAGATGAAGCCTGGCCCACACATAATCCTGTGGATACTTTTCCAGCTAGCTGGTCTTTGTTTCCTCCTCCACATTCTCAGTGCAAGGAAACACAGAGAAACGTAGAGCTGGTAGAGACCTCAAGGCTCATCTAGTCCAGCTCCCTGCACAATGCAGGAAATTCACAGCTACCTCCCCCCAGTCCTCCAGTAACCCCTGAAGAGCAGCCAGGCACAAAGAGTCCTTTGCTTCCACATGGTCTGCAATCGCACACACTGAATAATCCACTTTCAGTACACTTTCGAATTGGATTTTGCCAGATCACACAGTAAAATCCAGTTGGAAAGTGGATTGAAAGTGGACTGTTTAGTGTGTGTGATCACAGCCATGTAGTCTTTCTCTGTGCTTTTGCCTCATACCTACTATTCCACCACCACCACCACCCCCGGTCTTTTTGTCATTTTTTAAAAGATAATCACTATAGAATATATCTACATCTAATTACTTTTTTAAAGTCAAAACGCCTGGGTAGGGGGAAATGGTACTAGATGCGGGCAGGGAGGTGTGGCAATCTGCACACTACCATCTACACCAGGAGTGGCCAAACTGTGGCTCGGGAGCTGCATGTGGCTCTTTCACACATAATGTGTGACTCCCGGCAGGATCCCCATCTATTTGCTTTCTTTGTTTCTTTCTCTCTTTTTGTCCCTCTCTCTTCCTTCCTTCCTTCCTCCCCCTCCCTCATCTATTTTTTTTCTTTATCTCTCTCTTTCTCTCTTTATTTCCACCTCTTTCATTCTTTCTTTCTACCTCTCTTTCTCTCTTTTAGACAAATAAATATCATTAGCAAACAAATAAATATCATTATAAATATCTGTTTTTACCCCTTTTGTTTTTATGTTGGCAGTCTCGTTTAATGTTAATAAAAAGCAAATTTGCACATTTATCAATAAAAATATGTATGTAATATTTGTTCATGTCTTGCAGCTCTCAAACATTTGGTGTTTATTCTGTGTGGCTCTTGCATTAAGCAAGTTTGACCACCCCTGATCAACAGTTTCCCCAAACCTTATTTGGGTATGTTCTTCCCAAGAAAGATGCATAAGTTTTGTCGAAACCTGCTGCAGGACTCAGGAAAGCCTGAAAGGTGGGGTGAATGCACAGCAATGTTCTCTAGAAGCCCAGCTAAAAAAAAACATTGCTGTTTGCACAGGGAGCAATAGCTGTGCATAGAGGCAATCCTGAAGACCAATTTAAGGTGTCATAAACTTTCATAGGCTACTTCATCAGATGCTTTTTAGGGGAAGTAGGCATTGGTCTAGGAAAGCTTTTATTGTGGTATATCTTCGAACTGACACAAGATTATTGGTTGTTTTTATATAAAATTGAGTTACTATAGGACTCTAGAGAAACAGGATACCTCTGAGTAACATAAGCATTTTCAGAAAATATAAATCATTGAGATGATGCTTTAAAGCTGTGTCCAAAATGACCTGTCTCCATATCAAACCAAAACAGCTCACTGCCAGGGGTCATTTCGTAGAAAAAGAGCTAGGGGGACTCATTAGCATAACTCATTAGCATATGCCACACCCCCTGACATCACCGGAAGTGTGTCCTCCCCACAGCCGGCGGCGACCTCCAGCGGGCACCAGCAGGGAGCTCCAGGCCCCGCCCTCCCGCACCTCACCCGGGGGGATGGCGTCCCCCCCCCCAAATGACCCCTGCTCACTGCTAAGAAGCTTTACGTTTCCTTTCAAGGGTGAGAGCTACAAAGTCTTCTTTTTGGAGGTGTCATGCTAGCTACAGAAGTTGTGTTGAGTTGAGATGCAAAGTTCAGCCCTTAAAACAAACATTTAAAAAAATCACAATACTGCAACAAGCCTATCCCTATAAATAAGAAACAGAATAACAGATGAAGGAGGTTGATGTTCTTATTTTTGGTGTCCTCCCGCATTCTGTCCATACCGAATGAACAGTAAAAGAGCTGCAACTGAACCAAAGTTAAATTTCTTTCAGAAAGTTTCAGTGGCAGCAGTATAGAGTCCTACAGCATTAATAATAAAGGTGCATTAGGAAACACGTGAGCTCCCCAAAGTGTGGGAAATACAAAGATGGCTGCTAGACTCCAGGTGTTCCAACCCTTTTGGTGTCAAGAAGGCTAAAAACCCCAGCATGGTCATTAAAGCAAGTAGTACTTAATTTCCATGAGAACTAAACAAGAGTAAATTAGTTGCAACTAAATTAATCTCAGTTAATTTCAAAGGAACTTCTGTGTAACTTACTGGTTACATTCTGGTATTGTGGTAAACTGTGGAGTGTGTATCAAGTCTGTTTCTAAGTAATGCCTGAAGCAAGGAGGACATCTTAGATATACTGCTGCCTATGCAGTGAGGAAAATTATGCTTTTCAACAAACTGGTTTGTGAATTCAGAAGTTACAGTAAAACATGATTACTGTGTGAATATGGAAGTCAACAACTGTGGTTAACAAACAATCTACAGTCTCTGCTTTGAAATCTTAGTTTGGTGCCAACTGTCAGTATTCAAATATCATAACTAATTGGGCTTTGCTCAAACCACAGATTATACACCATTATTTATTTTCACATCTGAATATAGCCACTGCAGTTGGGTTGGGATGGTGCTAACATTACACCAGTACTGCTCGATGCTTGTAAGTTATGGATAGATGTTAGGAATTTCCAGGATTATTTTAACAAAGTACTTAAAGATTTATTTGAATTAAAGGGAGAAGAGACCCAAGCAACAGAATGGAGACCATGAAAATCTGATGAATGTGGTAAAAATAATTTATTATTCCAAGTGCATTTCTATAGTTCAGAGCCTCTAATTAAGAAGAAAACTTAATCACTGAAAACATTCAGCTACAACGTGTGTGCGTATGTAGTCACACATGAGGTTAAGTGGTCATTCATGTGTATACAAACCTTGTGAGGAGATGGATTAATGATAGTCATTTTGGCTTGCTCATGACTGAGCATAGGGTTGCCAGCTCTGGGTGGGGAAATACCTGGAGATTTTGGAGGTGGAGCCTGCGGAGGGGAGGGACCTGAGCAGGGTATAATGCCATAGACTCCACTATCCAAAGCAGCCATTTTCTTTTTGGGGTATCTGGAGATCAATTGTAAAAGCAGGAGATCTTCAGGTGCCATCGGGAGGGTGGCAACCCTAACTGAGCAGGTTCTACTTGCTGCAGGCTGTAAATAGGGCTGCCAAGTGGGGGCGGGTGGTAGGTAAACCCCCGCTTTGGAGGCCCGATTTCCGCCGCCGCGGAATTGGGCCCCGGGGGAACTCTGCCCCCCCGAAGCGCAGTGTGGCTGCGTCACCAGAGGTGACGTAACCATGTCGATCACGTTGGGGGCGTGGCCCTGATCGTCGGAGGGAAAACTCTATGGTTTTCCCTCCGACGATCGGGGCCACGCCCCCAACGTGATTGACGTCGCGTGTCACTTCCGGGATGTGCTGGCGGCGCGCGCGCATCGGAGGAGAACCTCCGGAGCCCGGCGATGCTCCCCCACTGGTAAGAAGATTCAACTTGGCAACCCTAGCTGTAAATCAATCCACCCCGTGCACCAATGGTATGTCCTATAATGCACTGTAGAGCAAAGTTACTAGCAATGCAGAGTTAGCTGAGAAAGACATGGATGCAATCAATCAATCTCATCTTCTGCACTAGACATCAACATCCATGCAAGGCTTTTCTTATTTTTAGATTAATGACAGCATGTGATTATCCTACATTTTTTTTCTTGTTTTAACATAATTTACTTATGGTTCTCTCTATTATGCCTGGTTATTTGGGCTTTTGTGTAAGGATTGACAGGTAACTGTTTACATAGCCCGTCAGTAGTTCCTGGAGACATTGTCCAGCAGGGAAATATCAGCCTTGTTCTTTTTCCTGTTACATATTTAAAATTATTAGAAATATAAATTAAAACAATTCCTGCTCAGCTTCATTATGCTTCTGTGTTTGCATGCAAGCGCAAGATTTTATACATCAAGATTTGGTGTTTTGGCCCTACTCTGCAAATGCACAGTAAAATTATTCCCTTTTAATGCACCCTAAAAGGCTATAATTAACAAATTCCTATGAGCCCTCTTGCCTATTGACATCTGGGGAGGAGAATATGCTCCAGGACTTTTCCTCGCACTCTTAGACCTGTTAATGCACAGAGCTTTTTTCTAGACCAACTCCTTTGTGCAGTGTTCTCCCAAGGCAGTTGTCAAAACTTGATCACTCTCAGGCCTTTTTATTATTCCAGCAAGCCTTTGCAGATATTACACTGGGATCATTAACAATGACTACTGAGGCCCATGCAATGAAGAATGTAGTGGGAGGAGGCTTATTTAATTATTTTATACAGGCTCTTAACTTATAAACACTATGCATTGTATGAAAAAGCTCTGTTAACTGTGTTGGTTTCCATTGTGAGGGAAGAGGGTGGGTTATAAATAGTATTATTTTATAAGTATATGTTTATTATTGATTATTTTATTGCAAATTTTTAAAAACAAAATTTATAAATCTATTTAATGATTCTTATTCACACCCAGCTTTTCAGAGTCTAGCGAGAGTGGCATGTGTCCCTGAATAACAGCTAGAAAAATGGGAGTACAGTTACATTTCTTAAATGATGGAAGTGATATATTTTTTAAGTTGTGTGTTAGTCTCAGCGGGAAGGGTGGGATACAAATCAAATCAATAAATAAATGGGGCATAAAATGATAGCTCAAATTAACACTTATTCCTAAATAATTATTACTGAATAATGTTACCTCTTCCCCTGTTAAAATGATACGTTGAAATGATACGTTGGTACATATATTTTTGCTTTGTAGCCTTCAGATAAAGAGGCATTCAGCCACTCTGTTACAAGTCTAGCTACAGATCCTCTTGCCAGCAGTGAACAAAATGGTAGACTCAGTAATGGTGATGGTAAGATTTGGTTTCTGATCTCTTATTGCTCAGTACTTGCTACTTTGTAACTCAGTGTGTGAATGAACTATCTGTGGTCCTTGAAGTGATATGTGGTCTTATGATTCTGTATATGTTCCTTATAAGGACTTATGTTCATCTTCCCACTGCTCTCTGCCCATGCCCAAAACGTTTTTGATAAGATTAACATTGGCTTTTTAAAGCAGCGTCCAGAATGTGAAGCTCTCTGCTGTACTGCATGGCCATTCATGTCATCCTTTAAAAGATAAAGATGGAGAACTTAGATCCCTTCCATACAAGTGCTTTAAACCTGCTTTGTCTTCAGAAAGCGATTTTATTTTAAGCTTCTCACAACTTAGGGATAAAGCAGAACAATAACAAAAACACAGATCAAAATACGTTTAGGAAAACTGGATTAAAGCTTCAGTAACCTCAGGAGGACACCATTTTGTCCTTAAAATATCTAAGGAGGGGTGTTTCTTCTGTCTGCTCTCTCCCTCTTTCCCACTAGGTTTCTTTTGATAAGAAAATTACCAGGAAAAAAACCAGAAAAAAATTGACAAGAAAATTAATTATGGCATTACCTAACTTATGTTCCAAAGTGATCAAGCTTTCTAAATATAATCTATATTAAAGGTGCTCATTCATTTGTGGAAAGAGAAGCTCCTGCATAGTTAGGTTTCATCTTGGCCAATTAAAGAGCAGACAGGCGAGAACTTGCAATATAAGCAGAGATAATCCAGTCCCCAGAGTATTGCATAAACCCGTCCTATAACATAATACGTTTTCCTAACATTTCTGCAATAGATTCTGCCCTTGTACAGTGAAATCATAGCTGATTATGTTATGTATTTGTTTTATTTTTCTGTAGTCCTCTCAGAAGATAGCACAACTGCTTGCATCCAGCCTTACGAAGAAGTGCAAACTTCTGTTACAGATCTGTTAGATCATCAGGACAGTCTGGGAAGATCATTAAAATGTCATCAAAGCAGGGAGCTACCCAGAATTCCCCCAAATAATGCCATTGAAACTATGCTGTCAACAAGAACTACAGAAAGCGATCATGTTGTAGGAACGGAGGGGCCCTATGAAGTACTGAAAGACAGCTCCTCCCAGGAAAACATTGTTGAGGACTGCTTGTATGAAACAGTGAAGGAAATTAAGGAGCTGGGAGCAGCCACTAATTCAGACAAGAGCTGCAGTATCAGACCCAAAGCAACAGTGATAGTTAATGGGAGTCTTGATCATGTCTCTGAACGCAAGACTGAGTCAGCTGAATATGCATCTGTTGACCGAAATAAAAAGAGTCGTCAAAGTGCCAATTCAGAGAGTCCTCTTAGCAACACTCCAGACATGGAAGATGAAGCTCCACCTCCAGTACCTGTGAAGCTCCTAGATGAAAATGAGAATGTCCAGGAGAAAGGAGCCAAAGTGGAGGAAGAGGTGACAGATGGCCCTAGTGAACCTGACAAGGTACACTGTACATCTTATACAAAATCATACCAATGTATGAGATCTATTTCTGGTATTTACCCTGGCACAAGCCGTTCTTTACCAATAAATGATGGAGATTAAGATAAAATACAGCTATTTGGCAAAAGTAGAAAAAATAGTGAAGAATACTATGGTACTGTAAAGATTCACAGGTGTATTGAGGCACAGATTTCTGCATACCAAAGCCAGCTTCCTTTAGATTTTATTTATTTTTATTTAGCAAAATGTATATCCTGCCTTTATGCCCTCTCAAGGTATGTTTTAACAAATGACAACATACATCATAAAATCTTATCTTAAAAACCCTTAAAACCAGCCAAAAGAAACACATATCATTAAAACAATTAAAAACAACATATGCAACAATTAAAACATTAGCTGCTGTAGATTTTCCGGGATGTGTGGCCGTGGTCTTGGCATTGTAGAACCTGACGTTTCGCCAGTAGCTGTGACTGGCATCCTCAGAGGTATAACACAGAAAGATGGAGTACTCTCTGTGTCAAGGTGAGAAGAAAAATGGTAGGCAGGTAATTTATATCTACTCAGGAAGGTGGGGTAGGGCTGAGTCATTATCTTAACCAATTAAAACACTGGTCTTGAAGGAGAGTTCACTGAGCAAAACAAAAAAGTTTTCCCCCACCAGTGGAAGAGGGCGAGAGAAAGGGACAGATCAGTATCTGCAAGGAGAGTTCCAGAGTCTTGGTAGATGTCTGAAGTAGGAATTTCCTAAAATTTTTACTAACCTCTTAAAATCCTGTAAATGTATTTACCTGGCTTCTCACATTTACTGTAATATATGTCACATATTGGGTGCGTTCAGACGGGGCGTTTCTGCCGGCAGAAACGCAATCACACTTACCCTCCATTTTGCGGAGCCCTCCGTTGGACGCCCGCTCACACGCTGCGGGCGTCGGCGTGTTTTTTTTTTTTAAGGACAGTTTGAGCATGCGCATAGGCAGCCATTCAGAGAATGGTGATTTTTGCGCATGCTCAACCCCCCCCCCCCCATTACATTTAAACTTTAAAGGTAAGGACTTACCTTTAAAGTTTAAAGCCCAACCTGGCCTCCCTGTAGTCCCGGACTCCTCCGGGAAGTTAAAGTAAGGGGCTTTTTTTATTATTTTAACAAACGCTCAGGGCGAAGCTTCGCCCGAGCCCATATCGCTTGGTTTTTTAAAAAAATGGCGGGGGAAAGCCGGAAGCCTCAGGCATCCGACGGAAGTAGCTGGGGAACGGGGGAGAGCGATCAGACGCCGGGGTGCACCGTTGCACTCAGTTTACCACCAGTTGGGACCTAGTGGCAGAGTGCAATGGTTTAAAGGGGTTTACAACAGTTAGGGACGGGAGGCAGATGTTCGCTGTGTGAACGCCCGTAAGTACACCGGTTGGAACCAGCACCCTAACCGTTGTAAATCCCCCGTCTGAACGCACCCTTTGTGTTTTTGTATGTTTATGGTTGAATAATTGGTTGGGGACAAGGAATTGTATGAACAATATAGTTTAAAATTGCTATTTCTTTTAAACAAACCATAGTTCCTTTAATGATCTCTAAAATATGCAGAGGTTTCAATAATAATTATTTTTCTTCAGTGTATGTGTGGCAGATACATTATTTCCCAACTTTAGAAGAAATATGAAGTACAACCAGTATTCCAGATAAGCTGTATCTCCAGACTGAGCCCATGTTTAAAATAAGAATGTAAGAAGATCAGACAAGTGGTCTATCTAGTCCAGCAACCTGTTTCGTACAGAGGGCCAACTAACGACTTTCCCTGATGTTGCCTCCTAGCACTGGTATTCAAAGGTTTGTTGTGTCTGAATGCGGAGGTTCCCTCTAATCACCATGGCTAGTAGCCATTGATGGATCCCTCCTCCATGAACCTAACTGCCTTTTAAAAACATCCATACTCATAACCATTGATGCATTCAATGGCAGTGAATTCCATAAAATGTCATGTAAGGAGTTATTGGGGATTTCTCCACCTTTCAGGCCAGGATTTTGCCCAAAACTGGTGGCTCCATCCATCAGGGCTAGCCCAGGACAGGTCTTTTTTCTGGAACTTGTGGAATTAAAATAATTTTGATAGCAAGATGTCCAAGTCACGGAGTGAGAGGATGGCTGGTAGACTCCACTTATTTTAGCGAAAAGTCCTACCAAGTAGGATTTTCTTTCCAAATTTTTTTTTAAAATTTATGACCACTTCATTAAATCTTTCGATTTATTTTGTGAAGTATTTTCTATCACCAGATGGTCACAGTGAATTAACCTGTTACATGATTGAAGGTTTCCAAGCTAGTATATATGTATTACTATAGTTATTAAGTACAGTCTAGGCCCTTCTCTAGGCATGCATGCACAGCGATGTATGTAGAAGGAGGCGGAATCCCTCCACAAGTATGCAGAGGAAGGGAATGTTAGGAATGTTATGTATTTAGTCTTGTATAGTAATGAAGCATAAAGCCAGTTGAATTCATGATTATCTCTGTAAGAATCATTTTGGCTCTTTTAAATATTTTATGAAGATCATTTGTAATTTCTTTGACACAGTATTGACTATATTCCTGGTGTGTCAAAGAAATCCCAAAACTTCTATGTGGTTCATAACTACTAATTCAAATAAATATATTCACTGTACTGTAGCTCCTCAGTTTGAACAATATACAGTATCAGAAGGTGTCAGAACTGGGAATTCGTTGCAGTGGTTCCACTTAGAAGAATTAATCAAGAAATGTCACCTGCAGTCCCTGAAGAGCTGGGGAAAAACATTTGACTAATGGAAATGTATTCAGAAAAAGGCTTCTGAAGTGGAGCTACACAGAATTTGATCCTTCTAGTATACACTAGATAATATATGGAAACATAGCTTTGTCTTGTCCTTGAAAAATACAATTGCAGCATATTAGCAAATGGTAATAATGGAATACATAATTGTAGTTATCAAATCTATAAATGTTGTTGTGCTGCAGTTGCACTGAACTGATCTATCCTGATTGTCCAGTTTCTCATGTTAGCTTTCCGTAGTCATGAACAACCGTATCTGCTTGACTGGAAGAATTTAGTCATATAGATCTTTCCATAAATTCTGTACATATTGCCTTTTCTATATGGTTACTTACTTAGAATGTTATCTGAAGCATATCTACCACCAATGGTATATTGGGGGCTATTTTGCTGGATGTGGAAATACACATTCACACTCTACCAAGTATAAAGAATGACTTGGGAAATCTGTGACTGTTACTTGCCCTCTGCTGAGGAGATGAACCTTTATTTTGCTAAGATGAATCCCTCACTTCAAGAGCTGACCTAAGAACATGGGAAGTTTTAATGTCATCAGGTCTTTATTTAGAATGGTTTTCCACTGCAGTGAGTTTAATTAGATGCAGAAGAGGAATGTCAAGATATACAATAGGATTATAAACAGCAAAGACAGCAGTCCTAGGAACACTTTCCTGGGAGTAACTCGGGGCTTACATCTGCTTACAATAGGGGTTACTTCTGCTCAACATTGCTCCCAAAATGTGAGCAGTTTGTTAGAGTAGCTGAACTTAACAAGGACAAAATTGTATCAGGCTTATATAGTGGATTGTTATAGAAGATACTTTAAAATTGGTGTTCTGTTTGGAAAGGCAATTTTTGAAACCCAAATGTGTGAACTGATCCTTAAATTGGAGAAATCAAATCTTTATAGCAGCAAAATATTGAAGACTGAGTGTTAGCAAAGTGTGATCACAGCAAACACTACCTTTAGACAAGACTGGATCTTTCTCCATCCATAGGACAACTGTGTCTGTTCAGAAAGGCTCATTCAATATCATGGATAAAGTAACATGTATCTGGAAAGCAGTACATACATGTTCTAAATCTATATATATAAAAGAAAGTCCCCTCACTGTAAAATCAACGCCCAAGCCAAACCGCTGGACCTAGAGACACCAAATTCGGGGAGAGCACTCCTATCGTGATGTAGGTACTCGCTAAGAAGGGATTTTTAGAAATTCGAACCCTAAGTGGGTCAAAAGGGGGGAAATGTGCTCCCCCCATTGATTCCTATGCGGCTCCCAGGCGGATGCATCCCTGCACCCCCCACCCTTTGATTGGTCAACTGCAGAGCTCAGTGTTCTGAGGTAAAAAAAGCCAATAGTTACAGGGGACTGCAGACAGCTAATGACAGTTGAGGAAATCCGGAGTGGCCAAGAACCACCTGTGAGGTGAAGCAAAGCTGCTGGCACAGCCTCTCTGATGGCTTCCAACACACTCCCCCCACCTCCTACACCTAACAGGCGGTTGTCTGTCACCATGGCTTCTAATATTCCTCCCCCTCCTACACAGGACAGGCAGTTGTCAGGTGTAGGAGAGGAGGTGGGATGCTTACAGCCGCCGGGGAGGTTTGCTCAGCAGGATTGCCTTAGCACTGCTGCTGGCCCAGCCTCCCCGATGCCTTTAAATACAATCCCCCTCAACACCAGACAGGCCGGTGTCTGTCAGGTGTAGGAGCAGGGCCAGGGTATGAATGTTTATGGGGAGATAGTAAAGGACATTTCTAGGAGCCATTTCGATGCGTGCCTCCCTCATGAACCTGAAGAAATGTCCACCACATCACCACTCCTTCACACCAACGCCCCCTCACACCTCTTACTGCCCCAGGAAAGCTCCTGGCAAATGTTGAGCCAGATACACCAACGCTACAAGGAGGAGGCAACTTAGGAATGCGGCAAAGACATTTTCACAAAGTACTCCTGCAGTGCACTGAGCTGCACAGGCAAAGTACCAGCAAGATCACTCTGAGATGCTCAGAACAACACAGTGTCCATATGAGCAAAACAATCCAGAAACACAAGTAGAGAGGCCATCACTTTCATGGAAGGTGGCAGGAGCTGACTTAACAGACGACTGCTTCTTAAAAGGACAGTTCTATGTGGCCTGCTCCAGAGTGAACTCATCAAACAGCCTGGTATTCCTAGCACCTAAGGGCAGAACCACCAATGTGGTCTAGAGAAAGGTCCTTCAGTAGAGGGGGGGAAAGTATGTATATCTCACTTCATTTCTTACACTACAATCTTCTCCGTTAGAATTCATACAACAAATGTCAAATTTCAAATTTCACATCATCAGTATTATAACTGGATTTACGGAACTTAAATACCATAGCAAAGCACAGGTGGCGGGCTAGTCGATAATACAAACTTTTAATATAAACTTTTGGCTTTCTCCAAAGCTTGGCAAGGTGCTGAGAACTCAGTCTGCGCATCCTGCAACTGTGACTGAAGGAATGATGGTTAAATCAGTTCAAATCTGTAGTTGTAGGTAACACCCTAAGAAGAAAATGTGGTAGGGGAACACTCTCTGCATGGAAATACTGTCGGAATTAACATATGAACTTGCCTTATATAGACAATTGGTCCATATAGCTCATATTATAGCTTTGATTGGCAGCAGCTGTCAGACAGAGATCCTCTGGAGGAGACTGGCATTAAACCTGGGATCACATGTGTGCTGTTCACCTGAGGGCTGAACTAGACAAAACACTGTCCCTGGGGATGCACCTCCATTTTGTAGAATCCTCATAAAGCCTTTTACAAGTGCTGCTGGGACCTGATTCTGGTTAAGACCAGGGTGGGGGGAGGACTCCTGTCTTCTGCCCTGAACTGTGCTTCTGGGCCAAAATGGTCCTGGAGGGCCATGTTGGCAAATAATGCCCCTTAGGGTTGCTAGCCCCCGGTCTGGGGAGGGATTCCCCTGCTTTTGTGAGCTTTTCCATGCCACCAGCCAGCTAGCCAGTGAGGGAAACCCCACCTGCAAATGCCCTGTAATGTGGTGCAATGACATCACCCGGAAGTGATGTCATCATGCCGCCAATGCTCTGGTTTTGGGGCAAACGTGATTATGTCACTTCTGGGTGACTCCATTGTGCTGCATTTCGGGACATTTGCAGGCCAAGAACTCCCAGAGAGGACCTTCAGCCCCAGCCCCATCCCCCGGGTGGCAGAATGGTAGGACCTGGCAACCCTATGCCCCACTGGCACTGTTTTGGTTTGGAAAAATGGCAAAGGGAGAAGGCAGGGGCCTCTCCTCTCACCACTGCAGTGCCAGCCCCAACCAGAATCTCACACACACACACACGTTGCTCTGAAATGGCATTCCAGGATTCTGCAAAATGGAAGTGGGAACCCAGGAATGGCGTTTCGTCTAGTTTGGCCCTGAGTATGACCCTTTTTCAATAATATAGAACTTTTCATGAATTTGTATGTTATCTTTGAGGAGAGCCTATGCTAATCTTATCTGCCTTTTCGAATCTAGTATACATGTGTCTGCCAAAGCACGGAAAAGAATTCTGGTATGTTTTGTTGCTGTTCTTTTCAAAGTGGAAACTGTCCATCCCATTTATAGTAATTAGATATTGGCCATCTCAAACTATAGATGGCCAAACCCCATTATGCTGGCCTCAATTTGGTTTGAGGCTAGACAGACAACTTTTAACTTGCATTGCAATACATTGCAATGGACAATTAAATTTCTGTCTTGTAGATTTTCTCTAAACCTAAGAAAATGCTAAATCTTACTTTATGGAATTCTAGAATAAAATTTATGGACATACTGGTATTGTTAATGAAACATATAAAAATTCAAATGAAAGTTCTGTGATACACCAACAGCTTGTGGGTGTTGTGGGTTTTTTTTGGTATTGTTTGCATGCATAGGCATTTTGCTGGCTTCCTAATTTTTTGAAGAAAAGCTGAGCTATTAGACCGTTATGCCCATTTTTTCAGCACTCAGACTCATCACAAAGGTTCTGCCACGTCTAAAAGCTGTGCTTACCTCTAGGCTGTTATCTCAGAAACTGCAGTGTGGATTTTGGCTAATGTGAAAATGGAAGGGTGTGGAAATGACCATTTAGTATATTATACTGATTCCTAGTCTGTCACTGTTGGCTGATAATAAGGCTTATTTCCGTCTTTTCCCCCCAGAGGCTTAGTTCACTGTCTTACAAATCCCGAGAAGAAGACCCATCTCTTACAGAAGATGAGGTGGGTTTCCTGCATGAAATGTAATAACGTCTTTTCCCAGTGATTAAATCGGAACAAATGCTGTATGATTAAGCAGGGTCTCAGAACACAGAGCAAATCAATAGAGAGATGCTTTCCTCCACCGTCCCAAAAGTGGATTATTTTTAGTGTATGCAAACCTAGAAGCTATAACAATTTATGTAATTTACAGTGGAATAGACCGCCTGCAGTTGCTAGTTTTAAACTTTGAGCTCAATTTCTGGTAGCACAGGAATACATTTAGTATTGAAAGCCATGGTTTGTAGCCAAAGAACTGCAGATGGAGTTCCATTTGCACATTGCAGCTTTCCCATCCCATTGCAGTCTACTCATGCTCCCCAAAAGCCACTCCAGAGGGTCAAGGAATTCTCCAGAGTGGCTGGCAAGGCGACATATATATGCCGAATTGCCTTCTTATATATGCTGAGTTGCCTTCTGCATGTACAAGAGCCACTTTGGATGCAAGTCTGAGTAATGCCAGTCAAGAATTCTACTTTAAGACATTTATAGTTTATAATAGCTTCTTATTAGGGTTGCCAGGTCCTCCCTGGCCACCGGTGATAGATGGGAGGGGGGTTGCCAGATCCAGGTTGGGAAACTCCTGGAGATCTGGGAATGGATCCTGAAGAGGGCTGGGACCTCACTGGGGTACAGTGCCATAGAGGCCACCCTCCAAAGCATCCATTTTCTTCAGGGGAACTGATCTCCGTAGTCGGTAGATGAGCTGTAGCGCTGGTGGATCCCCACGTCCCACCTGGAGGCTGGCATCCCTGCTTCTTATATACAAGAACTTACTGAATATATAGCATGACATAGATTCAGGGCTCTTTTTGTAGCAGGAGCTCCTCTGCATATTAGGCGACACACCCCTAAGGTAGACAATCCTCCAAGAGCTTTCAGTGGCCCCTGTAAGAAGAGCTCTGTAAGCTCTTGGAGGATTGTCTACATTAGGGGTGTGTCGCCTAATATGCAAAGAAGTTCCTGCTACAAAAAGAGACCTGCATAGATTATTACACAATTAAAACTTAAGAGCAACAGGGTGGGGTAACTCAGGCTGCATCTAATTTTTTTTAAAGGGTATATGTGAAAGAATGGACTCACAAGCCTATCCTTGTTCCTTCTGATTGGACCCTAGGCAGATCAAAAGGACCTGCAGCCACCCCAAGTCTCTGTTTGGCAATGTGTCCCTTCCCTTTACTCCCCAAGGGTGCAAATGACAACCTGGGTAATCACTGACTGCCACCAATGACTCTTAGGAGTGTCTCCTGTCAGACAGAGTCATGCATCTGACACCAAGCTTGCCATTTAGAAACCGAGCCTTGTTGCTCTGCCTCTACAAGCAATCACGGGGCAATCTGTCGCAAATCTCACACTTTAAAAGCTATCATGCTCCAGGTATGGAGAGCTTCTTTGCTGCCCTCTCTCCAGTACCACCCTTCGGATAGCTAGGCCGAACAGGCATGATGAGTTTCCAGAGATCAGACTTAGTTAAAAACATAAGAAAGTTTACTAAATGAATAAAAGAATACGCATATTCTGTTCAAGGTTTCAGGTTTAGAGAGGGAATAAAGAAAAGGTGAAAGCACACAGACCTCGTTCCCTTCTCTAGGTACTTCCTAAACAAAGTCTGCTTTAGGACAGGTGAGCTTTACTTCGAGTTGCAGTAAATGAAAGGTCATCATTCCCTTAGATCTCCAGGTTGGGACTCCTCTCCATTGTCCTTTGCCTCATGGACAAGATGGAAGTCCCTTAATGGAAGTTTAGCCCCTCATGGCTTGTGCATATCTGAAGAGCTGCCCAAAATGGAAAAGCCCCCTCTCCCTCCTGTCCAGATTTTTTAAAATAATATTTGGGATGGCCTTCATCCCTGATACCAATTATCATTCGGCAGCAGGGCTCCTATTCATGGACAGATAGCAGTCATAATAGTTGAAACATTGGGGTGAATTCTTGGGCGGGAGGGTGTTTCTCCACAAGATATTTTTTAGAATTCTGCTCTTTCCAGCGTGGCTTGCCCAGAGCTATCTCATCTTGATTTTTTAAATTTATTTTGTGAATAATACTATCTTTCTGCCATTGTATAACAAGGCGGTTTTCAGTTTAAAATACCTTCAGTATAATATGCATAACACAAAAGGAAAAGGGAAACAGAAAGGGGGAAAGAGAGATGGTAAATTTAGACACTAACATATCATCACTGTTTCATAAGAAAGAGATGGAATGACAACTGAAGAAGATACTTCTGAAGGGGAGGAGCCAAATCTCAGCTGGTCCAAAAGACACTTCACTGCCCTGCCTCCCCCTCTGATGCAGCAGCCATGTGCAATGTAGGACTGGGTCACATGTTACGTACGCTACGAAGATACTGTCCCAAAATAGCATGGCGAGCTTTCTGTCTCTCTGGTTCTAACATTTAGAAATATTAGCCTTACCAACATGTGAGCAGTCTCTACATCTACACTTTTGTCTACAAAGAGTGCTCTCCAGAGAGTTGCCTTTCAGTGGCATTCCTGTTGCAAACTTTATGTGCCATTCCAGTTCTTAGTGATAACAGAATATTCTAGAGGTTTGTTTTTTTTAACTTCAATACTTTGATTACTGTATGTAATAGGGAACTATAAATAATAACCTGAGGAAGGATTTGCTGTTTTTATGGGCTTAAAAATATTTTCATTTTCTTCTCCAGATTTCAGCAATGTACTCATCTGTAAATAAGCCAGGGCAGGCCACCAGACAGCTGGAGTCTACATATACCAGTATCCCTGAAAATGTACCTCAGAAATCGCCATCTATTTGCAGTGGCCTGTATGCTAGCGTGAAGGACTTGGAAAATGCCCCAAACCATATCTCCACACCTCACTCATCAGACAGACTAAATGGGGAGTTAGAGTCTGACTATGAAGCAATTCAGACTCTAAGTCACGAGGAAGACAGAAATGTTTCGGTGCCTAATACCAACCAATCGGATCTCTCACAAGAGAATGATTATGAGAGCATTGGAGACTTGCAGCAAAACAGAGACATCACCAGGCTTTAACGACACTTGATACAAGGTCACTGGGGTTGTCCTACTGGTACTTGTTTCAGGAGGCTGAAGGCTGATTCACTCCATGTCTCAAGACTTAGCCATGTGACTGAAATGAGGCACTGAAAAGGCTTTTCTGTTTGTCCGAAGCGATGTCAGATAATACAAGAGCTCTGTCTATGGTGTTTGACCTGTGATGGCTGTTTCACATGAGCAAGTCATCTTGCATATGTGAGCTCACCTTTTGAAGTATGAAGAAGGCTATTTTCTCCACTTGAAGAACGGAAATAGAGAGGAGAAGAGGCCAAGTAGAAGCCACAAGCTAAAAGGAAAATCTGTGCATGTTTTGCCACAATGTACAATGATATCTGCCTTGTCTTGTATGTGATGGTCACCTCAACCTGCGATAATTCAAAATGAAAGCTGAAGGTACTGAAAAGGCTTCCTTAGAGAGAACCAGTAACAAGTGTCATTCATGTTGTCTGCAAAATATACAGAGAGAAAGGGAGCCTGTTGTTAAAAAGCCAAGTTTTAATTTAAAACACTTTGTCACCCTTCTGATATAGGTCCCCTTCTGATGGGCTGACACAAGCATTTAGGTATGCCATAAAGTTTGTGATGGTTGTCATGCAAAGGATCACTCAGCACACATACATGCACACTGGCAAAGAACTGTAGGTTTGCAATGCCATGCCTAGGGTAGCACATCACCAAAAAAGCAGCTGTAGGAGCTATGGGTATTAAAAGTGTAATATGAAAACCCGATTGCACTTTCAGGCTTCAGCTTGCATCTTTCTCTGCACAGGTACGAAAACACAGCCATTTAGCAAAAAGGTGGTTGTGGGAACTAGTTGCGAGGAACTGCAGTCTGAGATGGTAAAAAGTGATATGCCGACTTGTTTGCTTTGTTGTGGTCTATGGAATGGTACTCTCATTCCCAAGTATCTTGTAGAATTCATTTTTCATAGAATACTGTGATCTCGTAGCATTTAGAACACACCCGTTTCTTCCTTGGGACTGCGTTCCTCATGGTTTAAAAGTTAGGATTTCATGCAGACACTCCAATAATTTATTTTAATGTTTACAATATTTAGTAATATGTTACCAGCCCAAATAGGCATCTGGAGTACAGAACATTACAGACTGGTATTGAATTATGGAATTACTGGTGTGGTGGCCGCACTGGAAGATCACACCAAAGTGTTCAGTAGTGAAGCCTAAAGCAGGAAGTGAGTGGTGAGTCGTTAAGTGAAAAATTAATGCACACAGATGAAAATAAAATCCGAACAGATCCAGAAACTTTTTTCAGTCAACGACAATTTTGTCATCCTTAGAACTGCTCCAAGCAATATAACTGGGAAAGGCTTGAGGCAGTTTTGAACCTTACAACCACAGTGACAATTTCATACCATCACTGAAAGATGAATATGGTGTTCATATTTTGTACACGGCTGAGTGTACACGGCTGATCACCTACTTCTTGATCCTGCTGCTGCTAGGGTAGACAGTACTGACCAAGGGAGACCCTTGTTTGTGGCTTTTCCTAGATTCAGGGAGGGGAAATGTCGTATGTGTAGACAGCATGAGAAAACACACCGGATTATGTGCATACAGGTGCCTATGCACAAAACAATGTCATTGTCCATAATAGAACATTTCTTGCCTTATAATTATGCAGTCCCAGCTGTTGAACCCAAAATGTAAAAATTAGGTGACTGTACAATGTTTCCATGCTTTGTTCACCTCATATACACAATTTTCTTCGGATTCAGCTTCAAGGGCTTGCCGTATGGCTCACCAGTATTATCAGGACTAACTACTTTAAAGCATGAAGGGCATATGTCCTTCCAAAATATGAAAAACATGCTCTAGAATGCTGTAATTGGGGAAGGGTAGTGGCTGGCAACTCTGGGAAAAAATAGTGCATGTCTG